TGTGTCTCCCTCCCTCTGACCCTCCCTCACTTGCATTCTGTCTCTCTCTCTCTCTCTCTCTCTCAAAAATAAACAAACATTTAAAAAAAAAAATAGGGGCGCCTGGGTGGCTCAGTCAGTTAGGCGTCTGACTTTGGCTCAGGTCATGATCTCGCGGTTTGCGAGTTCGAGCCCCGAGTCGGGTTCTGTGCTGAGAGATCAGAGCTCAGAGCCTGGAGCCTGCTTTGGATTCTGTGTCTCCGTCTCTCTCTGCTCCTCTCCCACTCATGCTCTGTCTCTGTCTCTCAAACATAAATAAACATTTAAAAGATTCTAAAAATATAAAAGTTGAGGCTTACTAAATGCCCATCAGCTAATGAGTGGATAAAGAAGATGTGGTGTGTATATATACAATAGAATATTACTCAGCCATTGAAAAGAATGAAATCTTGCCACTTGTAACAACATGGATGGATCCAGAGTGTATTAGGCTAAGTGAAATAACTTAGAGAAAGACAAATACCATATGATTTCACTCATATGTGGGATTTAAGAAACAAAACAGATGAACATAGGGGGGAAAAGAGAGGCAAACCAGAAAACAGATTCTCATTTTTTATGTTTATTTATTTATTTTGAGAGAGAGAGCACAGAGGAGAGACAGAGAGAGAGAGGAAGAGAGAGAATCCCAAGCAGGCTCCATGCTATCAGCACAAAGCCTGATGCAGGGCTTAAACTCAAGAACTGTGAGATCATGACCTGAGCTGAAATCAGGAGTTGGATGCTTAACCGACTGAGTCACCCAGGTGCTCCAAAACAGATTCTTAACTATAGAGAACAAACCGAGGGTTACTGGAGGGATAACAGGGGAGGATCGGCTAGATGTGATGGGTATTAAGGAGGGCACTTGTGATGAGCACTGGGTGTTATATGTAAGTGATGAATCACGAAATTCTACTCTTGAAACTAATATTACCTTATGTGTTAACTAATTGGAATTTAAATCAACACTTGAAACAAAAAAAAAAAGTTGAGGCTTACAAGATCATATATGATAAATGGTACAGAGGGGGGAAAAAAAACATGTGGATCAAATAAGTCTGCAACCCAATCTGACCCAGAGGCAGGCAATTTACTACCCTAAGTGTATTCCTAACTACTTGCATTAACACTACTTCTTATGGAAGTTCTCCCTGCATTATTCAAGCCGAATAAGAGCTCCTACCTTCCTTTTTTCCATGGTTTAGGCCTCAGAGAAGGCCTAAGCCATCACTGTGTGCCACATCAAGCATCAGACTACAGTGATTTTCTCAAAGATTTCCTTGGTAATTCTGTTGAATAAGCTCAGTTATGTCTGCACGTCTGGTTGCCTATGTCTGGCAATGGTTCTTGCAATTGTCAGCTTTGCAACTGTTGCATTCAGCAGCCATCCTATATATTATCTTATCCCTGTAATATTCTGTGAAATGAAATCTGCTTTTTGGATATTAACAGAGCCACTCCAGCTTTCTTTGACTCCTATCAGCATGGTATACCTTTTTTTCTATTCTTTTAACTTCTTTGTATGCTCATATTTTTTTTTTTTCCAACGTTTATTTATTTTTGGGACAGAGAGAGACAGAGCATGAACGGGGGAGGGGCAGAGAGAGAGGGAGACACGGAATCGGAAACAGGCTCCAGGCTCTGAGCCGTCAGCCCAGAACCTGACCCGGGGCTCGAACTCACGGACTGCGAGATCGTGACCTGGCTGAAGTCGGACGCTTAACCGACTGCGCCACCCAGGCGCCCCGTATGCTCATATTTAAAGTGGGCTCCTTTTAGGCAGCGTATAGTTGGGTTTCGCCTTTAAAAGAAAAAAAATCTAATCTTGTTAATCTCTCTGCCTTTTATTTGCAATAATTTTCAAGCCTACGGATTTAAAAAGGAAAAAAAAAAACAAGAATACTTATCTTTCTGCACCTAGGATTTTTTTCTCACACAACACTTAAAAGATAGTTGTCATTCCTTACATTAATTTTCATGGTTATAGCAAGGGCCTAGAATGTGGCAGTGCCTGGCAAGAATGTCTGGGGTACGAGATGGGGCAAATTATCAACAGTGAGAACTGCCAGTGGGGCTTTTGCATTAGTTTAGTAGGTACAAGGGAGGACCTGAACTTCAAAGTCCTATGAAAAAGTTCCTTTCTACTGAAAGAAGGAACAGAAGCTGGTGACAGATTGGTTATAGTCGCCAAGATTTCTCTTTTCTGGTCTCTGGGTAAGTATTAGTCACCCTCTTTACTGAAATTATGCAAAGTATAAAAAAAGTTCAGAGTGTCTGCGCTGCTGAGAACTTAGGGGCATTTAGTTCCACCTTTCCTTTATAGTCCAGGGAAAGGAAGCCAGAAAAGTGAAGTAATATGTCCTGGGTCATGCCTCTGGCTAGTAGTGGGGCTTGGAATAGAACCAAGTCTCTTCTGGATTTCCAGAAAACCTGGAGAACCTTACTGGTTGAATACTAACTTTTGAATTCTGCTTAGAGAAAATAAGATATATTCAATTTCTACTCTTCACCTGTTTTGATTTGTGGCCCCACTCAGAGAGTCTGAGAAAACCAATGACACAATAAACAGGGAAAAAAGCCCTGTAGGAACAAAATGAAACACAGATAGCAAAACACATAGATTGACAGAGTAACTGGGACACACAGATAAGAGAACACAGTGACAGAAAATGAAGTAGAAAACAAGATTTTCAGGGAGATGCCTGGAGGGTAGGGTTATTAGCTCCATCTTGTGGTCTTTTCAGAGACTGCCTCTAAGGTTAATTTTTGAATCCATAACTAAAACTCCAGATCTGACTCCTCGGGTGAGAAGCTCTGGAACAGTGGGCCTCAAGCTTTACTGTACCTGAGAATTAACTGGAGAGTATGTGAAAATGCAAATTCCTGGGCCTTTCTCTCACAGAGGCAAGTAGACCAAAGTGGGCCAGGGATCTGTGCTTTTAGAAAGCTCCCCAGGTAATGCAGGAGGACCAGGAACCATGTATTAGAAACATTGCGGAAGGCGGTAATTAGTGGTATTCATCCCCTTGGCATCGTGGGAAAGTGGCGGAGGGGGGTTGGTGGTGTTCTGAGGTAAAGCTTGGAAGACAATTGTCAAGAACTATAAAAGGACTGAGATTTTAGCCTTCTTGCAAATTAACAAGTTAGCCTGTCACAGAATCAAGAATGCTGGTAGATGAGACTCCTGGATCAGAGACAAAGAGCAGTGGGTTACTAACACTGGTAACTGTGAATAACTTACTGGGGATATAAGTTACTGGTAACTTACTGGGAATAAGCATTGGGGACACTTTTCTGAGCCCCAATTACCAGAAACCTAGGTGAGGAGGGCTATGGTAGGCTTCATTATAGGAGAGGCACTAGAAGCTTAGGGAAAATGAATGTCGCATAAGGGAGATTAAATCTGCTGGATCTTTGCCTGGAGGGGGACACTATTTATCTTCCACAGCTCTCCACCACAGAAGAATCCCTGAAAAGATTTTCCAAAAAAGGCCGTCAGTGCCTCTGCTCAAATACAGAAAAATGACACACGTGAACTGTCTTCCAACACAAACCAAGAAAATGGAAATGTGTCAGGGGAAAGGGATCCTACATCTGAAGGCTGTAAAGTGATCAAACTGAGGCAGGAATGGGGAGTTGGAGAGATTCAGCCTGGATTCTAGTTCCCATAGCTAACTTTGCAGAAATCCTTAAATGTCTCTGGTTTAATGGGGGGGGG